ACTGCAGTTTAAAACAACTGGTTTTAGGCCGTTGAAACACAAACAATAGAGCTATATGCGCGCGCTGTCTCTGTTTCTGTGTGAGAGGAGTGCGTAAGCCGCGCATCAGCTGCTAATAGAGCTCGTGAGCATTTTTGCTGCTTTATTGGCTTTGAACCATTGCATAAACACTTATATGCGTCCAAATGCCTGGCTTTGCAAGTATCCTCATAAACAGTCATTTAGGTCTTAAGGGAACGTAAACAGTTGCGAGAGAAAGCGCATGTGTAACAGTATAGTGTATCTGGACTTCGGTCTTAAAGGGAAAGCTGTCCAATATGCCATTCATGTTAATCAAACAACAGTAAGAGAAAATCTCTCACTGCTCTTGATTAAATCACTTTTGTAACTGATACTGATAGACATTAGCATTGATAATGCTAATAATTATGCCTATATATATGGATATGGATATGGATAGGGAGATAGATAGATAGATAGATAGATTGAACTTACACAGTGAAGACTAATAAATGTACACAATGTATTTCTTATTTATTGTTTTTTGTCCTATTGCTTGTAATTCGTTTCTTGTTCTTATTTCATCACTGACTGTTTATTAATCTCCAGTAAGCTTGAGTTTTTTTTTTGTTTTTTTTTTCTCGTATTATTTTGATATCAACATTGGTGACAAGGATTATGAAAATTCTATGGTATCAAACATAGTCCCACAGACAGGCCCCTCCCACGATAGTTTGATTGACAGTAGCGTTTCAGCACAGACTGGACTGGTGTCTTACCTCAGACCTGCCCTGAGTGAGCTGTCGTCAGTCCACCATTGTTTCACCGTTGGAGCAGATGTAGACAAGAATGACTCCTAATAAGCGATTGAGGTGTTCTGTTGTTGGATGTAATAATGAGCATAGCAGTCGTCATTTACTCCCGACATCTGAGCTACTGAAGACGCAGTGGATTACGTTTGTTTACATGTGTCTATGTTCGCGCGAATCATTCATGATCCAGCCTCATCTACAGAAGAAGTGAGTATAATGTTTTGTAATGAATGTTTGCAAATCGCCTTTCCTAATAATGTGCTAATTAGCAAGTTTCACGATGAATGCGGCTAAAGTAAACAGTCCCTCAGAGAGCGGCTCGGAAGAGAGGGGGGGGGGCAACAGAGCTCATTAACATTTAAAGGAAAATGCTACAAAACTGCTTGACCTGAAAATAGCTGTTTTTGACAGGGTAAAAAAAAGGTGTTTTTTACACAACAATTGAGAAATTTTAACCAAACTATGTTATAGACTTTTCATTAAGAATCTAATTAATCATATCAACTTGTGGAAAATGGGCATCCTATGACCCCTTTAAAAGAAAAAAGAACTATATCGTGATATATATATATATATACAGTGGGTAGCTAAAAAACACCTGAAGGACTCCAAGATGGTGAGAAATAAGATTCTCTGGTCTGATGAGACCAAGATAGAACTTTTTGGCCTTAATTCTAAGCGGTATGTGTGGAGAAAACCAGGCACCTGTCCAATACAGTCCCAACAGTGAAGCATGGTGGTGGCATCATCATGCTGTGGGGGTGTTTTTCAGCTGCAGGGACAGGACGACTGGTTGCAATTGAGGGAAAGATGAATGCGGCCAAGTACAGGGATATCCTGGATGAAAACCTTCTCCAGAGTGCTCAGGACCTCAGACTGGGCCGAAGGTTTACCTTCCAACAAGACAATGACCCTAAGCACACAGCTAAAATAACGAAGGAGTGGCTTCACAACAACTCTGTGACTGTTCTTGAATGGCCCAGCCAGAGCCCTGACTTAAACCCAATTGAGCATCTCTGGAGAGACGTAAAAATGGCTGTCCACCAACGTTTACCGTCCAACCTGACAGAACTGGAGAGGATTTGCAAGGAGGAATGGCAGAGGATCCCCAAATCCATGTGTGAAAAACTTGTTGCATCTTTCCCAAAAAGTCTCATGGCTGTATTAGATCAAAAGGGTGCTTCTACTAAATACTGAGCAAAGGGTCTGAATACTTAGGACTATGTGATATTTCAGTTTTTCTTTTTTAATAAATCTGCAAAAATGTCAACAATTCTGTGTTTTTCTGTCAATATGGGGTGCTGTGTGTACATTAATGAGGAAAAAAAATGAACTTAAATGATTTTAGCAAATGGCTGCAATATAACAAAGAGTGAAAAATTTAAGGGGGTCTGAATACTTTCCGTACCCACTGTATATCGTTATCGTGATATAAAATTACTCATATCTTGATACAAGATTTTGGTCATATCGCCCACCCCTAGTTCGAGGTATTAGGTAGGTTGTTGCTAGGATGATCTGGGGGTTGCTGTAGCTTTCCTAGAATGTTGCTAGGTTACTGTAGGTGGTTACCAGAAAAGTAAGGTGTTTTGAGTTTTGATAAGGTTTTCTGATTGGTTGCAAGGTCATAAATAAGCTGATGCTATGGTGTTTTAGGTAGTTGTTAGTTGTAGCTGCCATAGTGTTCTTAATAGTTGCTAGGCAGTAGCTAAGGTTTTCTAGGAAAGTGTTTGGACATTGCTAGGGTGCTCTGGGTAGTTTCTAGGGCATTGCTAGGCAGTCACTAATGTTTTCTGGTGATTGTCAGGACATTGTTAGGCTGTTGCAGAGATGTTTGGGGTGTTGCTAGGGTGCTTTGGGTGGTTACTAGAGCATTAAAGGGGTCATATGATGCGATTTCAATTTTTCCTTTCTCTTTGGAGTGTTACAAGCTCTTGGTGCATAAAAGTGTTTTTTTTTTTTCTTTTGGTTGGTTGCTAGAGTTTGAGAAAGTTTCTAGGGTGTTCTGGATTGTTGCTGGGCAATTGCCTGTAATACATCATGACAAAATCTTTTTTATGCCATTTTGAAGTATTTTTTGACCGAAAGTTTATTGTCGTTTTTTATGTTTATATCTATTTTCTGGAGGTTAATGAGAAACATTTACACAAAACATAATGCAATAATCAGGATGTTTTAGCGTACATTGTAAATTGATCCATTTACAAATGAAAGGTTAGCTTGAGCCTTTACGATAAGATGTAGTCGTTGTTCTTCTGCTGTTTGCCTCCCCCTGTCTGTATGTCTGCTTTGTAACGCATCTCTTTGATGTCTTACAAGGTAGTGGAAAGAAGCAGCAGGGCGACACATTTACACATCTCATAAATATTTCCTTTTGGCTTCTGGATCTGAGGCTGCTGTTTGGATCCCAGACCACCACACCCACCCATTCGCCTGCTCACATTATTACAGCTGCATCTGTTTAACAGTTTAAACATCTTCTAGATCTCCACACAGCCATCTGTACTGCTAGTGACTGAGCTGAGCGCCACAACAACACTATGGTGTTCCAGTACACAGTACTTTTTTTGGTCTAGGTATTGGGTGGGGGGTTGTTAGGGGGATTTGGGGGGATGCTAGGCCTTTTCTAGATGGTTGCTAGGGATATGTAGGTGGTTACTAGGTTTTTTTGGTTGGTTGCTAGGGTTTTAAGTTTATAGGGTATTCTAGATAATCGCCCACATGTTGCTAGGGTTAATAAGCAGTTTCTAGGGTGTTCTGTATAATCCCCAGCACGTTTCTAGGTGGTTGCTAAGGTTGTTGCTAGGGTGTTAATAAGCAGCTGCTATGGTGTTCTGAATAATCACTAGCATGTTTCTAGGTGGTCGCTAAGGTTGTTGCTATGATGTTATTAAGCATTTGCTAGGGTTTTCTGAATAATCACCAATATGCTACTAAGTAATGCTAATTTTTTTTGTTTGCTTGTTTGAGTGTTAATAAGCAGCTGCTAGCGTAGTCTGGGGAATGTTGCTAGGTGCCTGCTAAGGTTGCTGCTCAGGAGTTAAAACAGTTGCTAGGGTTTTCTGAATAATTGCTAATATGTTGCTAAACAATTGCTAAAGTTTTTTTCTGATTGGTTGTTAGAGCTCTGGTTGATAAGCTGTTGTTTGAGTGTTCTGAATAATTCCCAGTATGTTTTTAGGTGGTTGCTAGGGTTATAATAAGCAGTTACTAGGGTGTTCTGGATAATTGTTAGCATGGTTGCAGAGTTTTTCTTTTCTTTTTTTTTCTTTTTTTTAAAAGTTGGTTGATACTGTGTACTTAATAAGCATTAGGGTGTTGTGGATAATTACTCGAATGTTGCTAGGTGGTTGCTAAGGTTTTCCAGTTGTTAGTATGTTCTGGATAATCACCAGCATGTGGTTGCTAATGTTTTGGGCTGGATGCTGAGTTTTTTGGTTGGTTGCTATGGTTTTAAAAAGCACTTCTTAGTGTGTTCTGGATAATTGTTTACATGTTGCCAGGAGGTTGCTAAGGTTTTTTTGTTTGGTTGCTAGGATGTTAAGCAGTTTCTAGGGTGTTCTGAATAGTTGCTAATGTGTTGCTAGGTGGTTGCTAAGGTTTTTTGGTTGCTAGCTTAGGTTTTTTGATTGGTTGCTAGGGTGTTAAGCAGTTCTTTGGATGTTCTGAATAGTTGCTAACATGTTGCTAGGTGGTTGCTAGGGTTTTTGGTTGGTAACTAACATGTTGTTAAGGATTTTTGGGTGGTTTCTAGGGTGTTTCTTGGTGTAGAATAATTTTTGCAAGGACTGAAGTCGCAGTGGATGTTTTGCAGTGTCCAGAACATGAGAATAAAAAGACAAAGAGTCTTTATTCATGGATTCTTCTGTCATCACGTCACACAGTCTGTTTGAGATAATCATCGCACTGTCTGCTGATCTGCTCATGTTTGGATCTATATGAAGAAGTCAAATGGTTTTATAGTGTTGTTATAGTGTTATAGTGATGTGACGATGGAAAACGTCTACAAAAGCTTCAGGGGGTTGATGTGTTCCTCCATTTACTGTAGACAGTTTAAAGACTCATATCATGGATAGTTGATTTTGAATAAGAGTTTGATGAGCTACATTCTTCTACAACTCATCCAGAACATGAATGCTATGAAAATATTCTATTCTTATGTTTCTCTTCCTTCCTGTATGTTTTCAGTCCTTTCAGAAGTCTGTAGAAAAGGATGAAGCCATGCCGGATTCCTTGAGGAATCTCATATTTGCCCATTTTGAACCGGTGTACAAATTTCACGAGACCTTTCTGAAAGACGTGGAGCAGCGACTGGCTCAGTGGTGTGTATTTCAGTTAAGTGTGTTTGTTATATTGGTGTCAGGAATGTGTACAAACTGCTCCAACCATAACAGACACACACCTCAATGTGTCATTCAGTATTTTAATACATTGTTTGATGCCTTTTCATCTGCTTGTCAAACAATAATTACGCCAAATCAGATCTAGTTGGTCGTAACATGACATGAAATTAACCTCGCATGATTGAAATGCCTAGGCCATATTACCCAGCAAAAAATCAAAGAAAAAAATAGGAAATTATATTTTACATACAGAAAATGTGGAAATGACATTATTTTCATAACAGTTAAATATTTTCTGCTACACTTTGGTCCTAACAAAACCCTTTATGTTCATAATATTGCGTAATTCGATACTTGTTTTCTGGTGTCCCCCTCCAGGTTGCATAAACTGGTTTAACTAGCAAGATTTGTTTAGTCAACAGGCTTCACAAATTAAGAAATTAAGTTTTCCTAGTCACTACATAGACCAGCATTTATCAACCTTGACCAGGATCAATATTATTTGTAAAATAAATAAATATGAATATTTATTGATAGTATTTTTTATATATAGTATACAAATAACATATTTATTTATATAAATTTAATATAATTTATGTATAATTATTTATATAATATTATAATTTGCCAAATTACTATTGTATTATAATTTTATTTTTTAATAACAAAATATTTTTATTATATTTTATAATATTATTTTTAATTTACATTTAAATAACTTATTTTCTGTTCTATTACATATTTATGTCTATTTCTATGTTTTATATATTTATTTCTTTAGAAATAAAGATATATTTCCATATTATCCAAATTAACATTGTACCATCAGCCACACCTGCCATCTCATGTCTTTTAGAGCATAAGTCACTAGAAATGTTAAAAAAAGCGTTAAGTCATGGCACACAGAACAAACCTGTAAGTATCAGACTATACACATAACGTGTCCTGACAGTAACTATTGGAGCTCTGCTGACTTAAATGTTCTCCAGCGCGGCTGTTATGTTTAATACTGCTCTGTGGGGAGCGGGTTTGGACCCGTGTTAAAGGATGGAGGTTTTTGTGTGTGGTGGCTGGTGTGATGGCTCTCGGTGTGGAGCAGGGAATGGCTCTACAGCGTGATAGATCAGTGTTTCCCAACCTTTTTTTAGTCGCGGCACCCTTTGGAAATTTTAACTAACTTGTGGCACCCTACAACATTAATTCTGTCACAATATTTGAATTTCTAACTTCGATATGATAATTTGAAAAGTATAGATATTCGGTACAACAGGGAAGAACTGCAGAATATAATGTCATACAGATATTTTTAATATTATAAAAAAAAAATTGTCCATTGAAAGTGAAACCTGAGCGGTGACCTAATTTTCGGCAGCCGAAATTTTGGTGCATCTCTAATTATTGGCGACATCAGAAATGGCTATTATATAATGTATGCTTTTTTAAAAACATTTTAGCAATTTAAAAATATTAAAAAATGATTTTTTACACGGCACCCCTGCTCTCAACAGACGGCACCCCGGTTGGGAAACAACACTGTGATAGATGACACTGAGTTCACTGATGTTCAGGTACTCAGTAAGTCTGCGTAGATCGATGTGCAACAGAGACATCTACTGGATGACATAAGAACTTCAGTTCACCCAAAATTAAAACTTTAGTAGAATTTACAGCATGCTCATGCATTGAAAGTAAATGGGGACTGGTGCTGTGAAAAGGGACAAAAATCCACATAAAAATCAGGATATTTTAAGAATTTCTATAATACTTTTGATATGTGTCAAAAAAATTCTTAAAATATGATAAAATGTCAAATCATTTTAAGATATTTTTTATTTCATATATATATATATATATATATATTTGTGT